CCACAGCACATATGAATCATTATTTAAATACAAATAACATTTAGTTAATTATTTGGGAAAATAATTGATGAATTTAAGAATAATAAGCATAAGAAACTGAAAAGTTCAAAACATCACATAATTTTGAGATTTAGAATTTTAATTAATTTAAAAATTTAAATATTTATCATACTGACATAGACAACCTAACTGTGACGCTAATATTTTAAATGTGGCGGAGCTACATTGCACTGATTTTTTTAACTGTGGCGCTAAAGAATTTTATTGTGGCGGGGCCACCACGTTAATTGTCCTCTGGAGAACCCTGCTTAGACATAAACATTGTCATTGGTCGTTCTTTATACTTGTTATAAACTGTAAGATTTGTCTAACTTTACTAGCTGACCTGTTTTGTATTCCTATGAAGCAGACGTTTTTAAACAGCTTTTGATTGAGAAGAAGAAAAACACTTGCTTGGGTTTCTGGTTGATAAGGAGTAAATCTTGTTTAAAGTCGGAATTTCCTAGCTACATTCTATGGTCATAATGACATGTCTTAAGCTTAAGACAGCGGAATATTAACTAGCAAGATTGGAAACATGCAGCTTACATGTACATAATTTCTATCTGTTACAATCAATACATTCAATGATAGACACAAAAATGGACGTGTACAATTAGAAGTGGACGCAGGGAAAACATTGGATTATTTTATCAATTTACAACATCGAAACTGAATTATTTTTCATTTGTTTGGTTCCCTTTGAGAAAGGGAGAGAGGAAGAATAGAGAGAGAGAATCTAAGCGTTCTGTTAAGGCGTACTCAGAAATAATCATCAGAATATAAGCTTTGAGGTATAGATATTTAACATGAATTGTGTTATTGTAAAATGTTTTCTATGGTTTCTTATGATAACATTTTTTGTAGGATCGTTAACTGAAATAACAGCATACTCCATTCTTTACTTATTTTTGTTTGATCACTTTTTATAGTCACGCAGATAATATCATAGAATGCGTACAACCCCGAAATCATAAAAATAAATCAAAAAAGACAATGAAATAGCCTAGATTAAATCGAAAATTACAATGATTATTTGTTTGTACACATCTTTAAGTTTCTAAAACGTGGAGCTACTTTAAAAAGGATTTGAATGTCTATTTCATATGTTTAAATTCAAGTTCAATTTCAAAGATAGAAAAAGTCCACGAAAATTTTTAACAAATGTTGCTCTAGAATTAAAAATAAGGCTTTTTACTTAGAGTGTTTATAAAAAATATATATATCATGAATTGTGAACAACGAAACAGTTTTACAAAAACATAATTTCAGATATGATGAAGAAAAAAAACCCACCACGTATAACGGCTATGAGACGGAAGCCTGGACATATGGAGATAGTTATAGCTGCTATTTAAGGGAATTGCATTCGTTTTGGAATAAGGAAGAAGGAAAAGTAGCTCAAACAATCAAGGGCATTACGACAAAATATAAAAAAAAAATAATAGAATACATTCCTGTACAAACAGACCACTTTTGTCCTCATTTATTTCAAAACTGCATAAACAGCGACAAGTTCAAGGTAAATGGCACCACTAGGCTTTATACAGGAAACACACTTCATTGTAAAATGTCTTGTTCTTTTTAGATTGTTTTGAACAAAAAATTATTGCATTTGAAAATAAAACAAAAATTGAGCCTGGTCCAATAGCGTTGAATATTCTTTACTGTAAGACTTAACGATGATGGCTCCTGATAAATTTAAAGTAATTATTGTTTTGTCAAGGATACTTCTGGTTTCTATACAAACAGCTTAATTAAACACGAAAAAATTATGGGGGCAAATATCCATTTTTTTGGCGCTAGAGTACATTTCATATGACTTTGATCCAATACACTCAAATTTGTGTCTTAATCGAAAATCATATCTTGACATTTTCCCTCCAATATCTTTATCCAAATAAAGCATAGATCAAAATAAACTATAAATGTATTTAAAATAAGAAAGTTTAAATTTTGACACAGTAAGTTTCAAATTGCTTTGCAAAATCAACGATGTGTCCCCCTCTCTACCTCAACCGTAGTCGAGATTCTCTCTCATTCTCTCTCTTTTCTCTCTCTCTCTCTCTCTCTCTCTCTCAGGTGAAGTTTTTAAAATTCACTCAAGGAGGTTCACTCCTGAACTTTTTTGCAGATTTAGTCTTGACCTTTATTTCTAAAAGGCATAAAACTGTTGAGACAAAGAGAAAGGAATGGTTATCAGGCTCCTCCTGAGAATTTTTGTTATATTTATATTTGTATTCGCTGTATGATATATGAAAAAAATACTGTTTATTTAATTATAGACATGATTATGTGAGTATCAAACGGCCATAGAATGATAAAAAAAAATGTATATATACCGTCATAAAATCAAAAAATGTCATGATTAAATCTCGAAAGACTTAACCTAAGAGCAAAAGCAAATTTCTGAAAAATAACAACCGCTCAGTTTAGGTTGCAATACCAGTATTTATCAACTGGAGTATTTGTGACCACGTATCTATTAATCATGATGTATACTGGACAATAAAAGTTAAGGATCATCAAATTAAATATGTTTTACAAATACTGTATCAAAGAAAACAAAATGCATTTTTAATTTTTGTATCATATTTTATATTTAAAAAATGAAAATTAAACATTAGATTTGATGAATTTGTTTGAATTGTTAATTACAGTCACTTTAGAATTCGGTATGTTGGGGGTAGACCTGAAAATGAGATTTTTTTCTCAGAAGAGTCAAAATATATCACTAAAATGATTCCCAGTATTTTGTATGACTTCCCCGCGAGGCCCTGCAGCGCAGACCCATGCTGCCCATCAGCCGTCCAAGGCTAGCCTGAGTGATCTGTTGCCATTCCTCCTGCATTTCTGTCTGAAGCTCCCGTCGATTTTGGGGAAGTGTTAGAAGAAAACGACTTGGCGGGTCCATACGCTACGTTGTTTCACTTTCCATGTATTTGTTTATGAATCGGACTCTAATAAGTCAAGCATTATCGTCCATTAAGATGAAATCCTTACCCAGAGTACATGCAATACGTCTAACAATAGAATGAAGAATATCATTTCGATATTTTAAACTTGTTAGGTTGCCTTCAATAATGTGCAGATCGGTTTTGTAGTCAAGACTTTTAACTGTCCAAATCATCATCAAACCTCCATTTACCCTGTATAGGTCAAAAATGACACAATCAGCATATCTTTTCGATTTTACAATTTTAACAGGTCTTCTGTCATCATGGAGGTCAAAAAAAAATCGGGACTCGTCTAAGAAGAGAACAGAATACCAATGACGTTATTGCCAAATTTGTGTGCTCTGTTGCCCACTGTAGTCGATTTCTGCGGCACTCTAATTTTTATACAGGACGTACAACTGGTCGGCAAGCCTTGAGATTTGCTTCTTGAAGTCTGTTTCAAACTGTTTGAGTAGAAATCCGTCTGTTCGTTGCTCTCATATGCCCAATATAAAGCTCAAGAGCATTTTGGAAGCTGTGCGTCTCTGCAAAATTGGCCAAAAAACGATCCTCACGGACTGCCGTACATCTTGGACTTCCCGATTTTAGTCTTTTTGGACAATTTTCTGCCTGTATAAATTGGTTCCATAACCGTTAATTTTGCTTTGTGAAAGATATGTTTCTGTTTCTTAAAACCTAATTATGAGAAGGGGCACACGGCAGGCATGACCAGTCAAGCAGGAGACGATCACTCCTTCATAGCACATGAACCAACCTCTGATATTTCGGAGGTCTGTGTTTGCTCTGCTCCTATTGCGTATTGTTTTATGGACTTTGAAATTGAATACTGTTCATTAGGTTCATATCCTTCTGTAGATAAAAAAAATAACTTTCTAACATATGGAGTTTACCGGTATATCGAGTATTCACGATAAAAATCTATAAAGTATTGCAAAAAAGAGAAGAGCAAACATGGACCTCAAAACATCAGAGTTGGGATTAGGTGCCATGGAGGAATGCGCACACCCTACCCACCGGTCACTCCCATTGTTTGCTTTCAGTTATGATCTGAAAATAACGGAAATTGTGTCGTCAATTAATTGTATCAAATATAAAACAATAATTGAAACACATCATTCAGCATTTGATTGATGATTAATTGTATTTGCTGACAAGGCCATTTCATCGGCCATAGAACTTAAAAAATGGTGATTTTAAACAACTCTGTTGGTATTCCTGTATCATCACCTTGTTTTACAATAACTTACTAGTTTTAGAAATTTGTCATTCATAGTACACGCATTGAGTTTATCGGATCAAATGAGATTGATAAAGGCTGTTTGCAAGTTGAAAAAGGTAAATGCTGCATAAGTAAGACAAATTGACGATTAAAAAATTAAAGGAATCACGTTCAAGCATTTTTTTTTTCCTAGGAGATACTTTTTTCTAGCAGTATGTCTTACAGTTTCCAAAGGTATAGATTTTTTTACTTCAAAACAGATAGTTTAAGTCACAAAACACAATCCCACAAAACACAAATAAAATTTTAAAGTAACACTTTGGAAATAAAGAAAATCAACAAATATATTGCTAGTTATATTCTAAAATGATGCAGATAATCGCAAATATTTGAATGTTTAAATATGGAATGATGAATATCCCACGCTTGTGAATTTAAAAAAAAAAAATAATAATGCTTTTTGCCCAACGAAGTTTCAGCAACGTAACTCTTTTAAAAAAACACGTTTATGTGTTCAAAAGTGCTGTTTCAATTATTACACAGTTGTAAAAAAATAATACCCCATGTCCATGTCCAAAATCATAATTGTTTTAACCATTTGATTGGACAATATCGGATTTAAGTCTCTCACCAAAAAACCATTCAGAATTTCGCAAAAATCCTCTTTCCGACATCCTAAGTGTTTTTCGTACCACCGGTGACAGAAAACAAATATATCAACTAAAAGCACATTTTGCAGTATTACTATTCACCAGATGTCCGTCTTCAGATTACACCGTTTTATGCTTCCTTAACGTAAGGTTTAAAGAAATGCGTTTTATAGTAACTTTATTCAGCAAAGAATTTTTTCCAATGGTGCACATCCTGTTGAAATACGGTGTTTTTACCATTCCTGACATTGGAAACTGGTACCGGAAATATTTACCTTTCATGGCAGTAATATTTGATAGAAAATAAAACAGGTAGGACAACTTAAAATTTTGTATTTATTTCAAATGCTAAATTAGAAATTCCTTCACATACGTTTTAATAAATTAAAAAAAAAATGTTCGAATAATTTTAAAGGATTGATTGATTGTATATTTTTTAACGTCCCTCTCGAGAATATGAGAAGCATCCTGGGGTAATTTAAATTCTCAAGTGTTAAAATCATGACACCGGGGCCACAAAAGCGAATGCAAGTTTTACAATGAATTTTTATTGAACTACTTGACCAGAAAAGATAAAACTCTTCTGATAGCATCCTGGGGTTATAAAGATTCTAAACTGTTCAAATCATGACCTCTGAGGTAGGGCAGGGTTACAAAAGATAACAAAAGGGTCAATCCTGTACTAAAAAAAACAGACAAAGTTATCAGGTGGGGATGTTGCCCATGGGCGTCTTGTAAATACAACCCGTTCGTTACAAAGCTTTTTTTCATAAACAGACTGCTTTCTTAAATATTTGTTTGTAAATTCGTTTTTATTAATACGTAATATTATAAATTCTGAATAGGTACATAATTTACAGAATGGATAACTCTCACCGCCTATCAGAGATTCTGTATAATGGTCTTTGTCGTAGGATAGGGTTCCCGACGGAAGTGGGCATAAGACGAGACGTGAAAGACATGGAGGATATGATAGATATAAAAATGTCTTTGGCGAGAGGAGAAAGAAGTATGTTAAGCGGAAGTCGTCGTGAGGGATTCAGGTTAAAAACATCCGATAAGGATAACATGGCATGGTGTTGTCATTGTAAATTAATAAGTGTGATTTCCCAGTTAAATACATACGATCCATCAAATTATAGTATTTTTCTTATGGAGGACACTTATACCCCACCTGGATTTGTTAGACTACAACTTCTTACGCTGCCCACAGGGATATTAGTCACATCATCAATAATACCCTTCAATGAAAGACTTTATCTATCAAGTGAGTTATATAAACAAGCACTGGGTGAAAATCTGCAGATTGAAAATTCCACTTATCATGGTCCTTGTGTAACGTATCAAAATATGTCTTTATCCATAGATAATGCAGCTTGTTTTACAAACAAATATTGGCCAAATATTATGAGTCATTAGATTAACAGATGCCAACGGCGCATGTGGCCTCCCAGAAGTGTGCTAAAGGATATCTTAAACAGTAATTTTCACTGCGTCGCTATTGGAAGTAGATGTACTACCGATCAAAATAAATTGGAATGGAGATTGTCCTTTTCTCTAGCCGAACAAAAGCTAGTGTATATCATGAATCATACTCAATTTTTATGTTATGGACTCCTCAAAATATTTCTCAGTGAAGTTCTCAATAATAACGTACAGGAACCATTGCTGTGCTCTTACTTCATGAAAACTACAATGTTCTGGTTAATACAAGCAGGACATTTAACCTGGAGTCCTCATAAATTAATGGAATGTTTTTGGGTGTGTTTTGCATATATAATTCATTGTGTGTATCATGGTGATTTTCCGAATTTTTTTATTCAACAGAATAATATGTTTTTAAAAAAGGTTGTCGGTGCTGCACGCGAATCCCTGTTAGAACAGCTAACTCGGTATTACAGACTAGGTGTATCCTGTGTACTCCAAAGTCCGACCCTCAGATCCATCCTTGAACCAGTCCTCAGCACACCGCCATCTTTGATGCCTCTTGATACAGTTCACATTTACGACATCGGTTGTCAATGTTGTATTAATGATATTTTAAAAACTGAATTATTGGACATTTCTTCACATACGTTCTGTAATTTAATGGAATGTTTTTCTTTTTTAAAATCTTTAGACAATTTGTTACATTTGCCAAAGTCACAATGTCAGTCCTTGACATTACAGTGCTGCACAGCAGAAGTTTGTGCTCGTATTCCATTTATTATATCAAACAATGCCTCAAATATCCCGCATAAATGTGTCTATCATTCACACAGGAATCTCTGCAACATTCTTAAACTGTCTTCACGGATTGGAACCATCTCACATTCATTGTATTTAGCTATGTATTACTATCGGACGGGCAGATATAAGGACGCCCTTCATATAACTAATCTGACTAAAGAAAGACTTTCGAGGACCTACATCAAGCGTCATGGTATTAAAGACGAAGAAGGATCCAGAGAAGTTAAAAATAGTCCGTCTTTGTCTAGAGAAATGAACATTTCCTGGATAACAGGAATAAAGCTTTATTTTGGTTTTCATTATATTGAAGAGTTAATATTTGAAGATGGAAAGAAAAATTCCCGTGAACTTGGAACGTGTATTTCACCATTTGTATTGGTAGATATGCTGTCTGTGTTATCAAACTATAGACTAGGTAACAAATCTCAATATCTACGGTCACTGTCAGATCTCCACATTTTGATTCTCTGTGACAATGAAAGATCTATTCAAGACAAATATTTGTCTTGGTATATACTTGGAGTCTGTCAGCAAGTTGTAGGAGACTTACACACAGCATTAGAGTCTTACGAAGGGGAGCTTATACTAGAACCACATTATATAATAAAGAAAACAATAGAAAAGAGAATAGAATATATACACCAGCAACAGAGTATATTCATTCTGCTATGGTACACGTGTTCTCTTTCTTACACATGTGATCCAAAGAAAATGTGAATGTTGAAATCATGATTAATTCAAATGTTATCGGGAATGCATCTAAAGATTTGTACAGATAATTTAATCATCTACATGTACTTTAGTTTATCCAATTTCAATCGTAAATTCATTGCAATTAGATAATGTAATGAATGGTCTATAATCTATTTCTCTTAAAAATATATTAAATTCACATAAAAAATTGACTAGAATTGGGTTTATTATAAAGAAATTTGCAATATTGTTAGATAGAATAGGTCAATTTTTAAGCATCATGATTCAAATCGGTTCTGAAAGAAATTGGAAAATTACAAGAAAGAAATTACCTTGATAAAAGACATTTTTGTGGTTCAAAAACCATTAAATTTGAGAAATGTTAAATAGTTCGATTCCATGGTGACAACTTTTTTATTAAAATGGAATAAAATGAAGCTTTAAAATGATTTTTTTGTGTAACAATTTTTATGTTATTCATCTTTATAAGATTCAAGGTCTTTTGAAGTCTTAGAAAGAAGGATATGGAGATAACGAACAGTATTCAATCTCAAAGTCCATAAAACAATACAAAATAAGAGCAGAGCAAACACGGAACACCAAAACATCAGAGGTTGGATCAGGTGCCATAGAGGAGAGAGCATCCCCTGTTGACCGGTCACACCTGCCGTGTGTTCCTTGTCATGATCATGAAATAACGGGAAAAAATCTGTCGTCAACTCATCATATAGATAATGGACTAACAATTGGTATGAAGAATGTCAGTCAGCATTTGACTCAGTATTTGCTGACACTGTCATTTTATTGACCATAGAACTTACAAAATGATAACTTTAGACAAGCCTGCTGATATTCTTATTTCGTCAACTTGCTTTTCAATAATTTTCTTCGTTTTAGAAATTGTTCATACGTAGAGCATGCTCTTGCAAATCGAATCAACAGAGATTTATATATATATGTGTAGTTGATGAAGAAAGGTCGTACATGTATAAAAGCTGACATTTTAAACCTATAAAAGGGGAAAAAAATAATACAGTTTTAGAGAAAAAAGATTTTCGTGAATCCAGCCTTAGATCTTAGATACCAATGATTATAAGCAAGATATGAAATGAGAAGTGATTTTTTTTGGTGTCTTGTAATGACAACAAAAGCATTTTACACTATGTATTATAGAATACTTGACAAAAAAAAAAAACAAATAAGTATAGAAATCATGACAATTTCTCTGAATGCCTGCATGAATACGCATCATTTTTCAACCTAATATATATTTGCTGATCAAATTGCAATTCGAAAATGCAGGCTGATATTCAAATTCGCTAATTCTGCAAAAATATTTTAGATATGATAATTATCCTTATGTAGTATGATTAACTTTAACGAGGCATAATCTAGCTAAAAATAAGAAAACAGAATGATAAAAAAAATTAATTCCTGGAATTAAGTTTGTATGTATTATGCTAAAAAATATTAGAATGAAATTTTGTTACCTTGCCTTTATTGTAGTCAAATGGGGGCACTTTCAAGATATGGACCATTTTTGTGCTTTTATACAAAGTTACCTACTAAAACTCCGCAATTAACAAAAGAATATTAACCTAATAAAAAATATATGATGAAATGTTTCACATATATCATGCAATTCACATCTGTCTTTAAAAAAAGGAAAAGAAAATAGGAGGTATCCTTTATTGCAGTGAAAAGGGGGCATATCAAAACAGTTGATGAGACTTATTTTATCAAACTAGATATTTTATAAATCCCAACGGGTTTTCATAACATCAACAAACGATTGTAACACTGTATAAGTTTCTATATCTTAAATATTTTTTACATTATGAGATAAGTTTCTCTCTATACCCAATAAAAAAAGTGAGTATAACCACTTCAATATATTCGAGGAGAAATACTAAAATCGTTTATCTTTGGTTGAAGTGGTTTTTTTTTTTTCTAAATCACAAATTGAAATAAACCAAGATAAAATTAAGTAATCTGTAACAAGAAATTTATGCCTAAAAACTATGTTCCAATGTTGTTTAATCATATTACTTTTTCTCTAAACACATGTAAATAATAGAAATGCCAGAATGAACTAGTTTTCAACAAGCACAGTCTATAATGTTAACAGGTATGCAAGATTATCGAAACATTTTAGCGCAATTAGACGTCAGTTTAATAGTGACATTATTGTATTCAATTGTGACGTACCTTTAGTCGACGCTGCCTTTAAACGAATGCACAGATCAAGTAGTTCAGGCCTCGTTAATTTTTAACTTAAAAAAAATATTATGGATAAATTTACATAACTTTGTGGATTCAGAGATACTTTTATGGTATATTTGATTATTCAACTGTTAATTTTATGTGACTGAGGATCGGACTACTTTAAGCTATTCTAATTCTATGGCGCTAATCCACGCATTATAAACAACTCTCGTACAGAAGTAATAATCAGAATTCATTATTTGAAAATATTTAACAGAATAAATCCTAACTATCGAGATGCAAACATACAATATATGAATACGTTTTTAAAATATATGTAGAAAATCCAGATGTATTCTTCAAAGAGCACGTTTTTAAAAGAACTGAAGTATGATATAGTAGATTCAAATTGTACCATTTCATATGTTCTAACAAAAAGCAAATGTCATCCAAATGACATTTATTTATAAAATATTGGCACAACTTTCTATGATATATTCACACACTCATTTTGATACCAATCGTTTTATATTTATGTTCATGCCTTTTACTGTAAATAAATGCCTCGATTTTATTTTTGACATCGGGTTCAATGCTATTTGACTTTCTAGAACTTTCAACAAAAAATGAGATCGGACATAACTGGAAAAAATTTCACATTTTATTTTCTAATCAGTGACCAGAGTTTATTTCTTGTATATAGTCTAAATTATTAAGTTTTAATTGAATAATTCATTAATGGAGTTTCCTGAAATAAATTAGCGCTTGCCTGTTGTCAGTTTTATTAAAATGCCGGTAACTTAAATCGGCAAACCACCATTGATTTTTTTAATAAATAATCTTAATAGATTATCAAAGGAATATATAGGAAAAAAAATTTCAAGGACATCAAAGCAAAGATTGGTCATATTTTAATTGGGCGGGGACACAATGTAAGTTCAACTGTAAAGGACAATAAAGCCACGGATAGTCAAAGAGACATGCAAGCATCATGAGCTAGTGTATATTCAAGTTTGTTCAAATCATTTCATCTCCCCTTTAAAGGACTTGTCGGGACCACTTGTGGGTTTAACTTTTCAAAAATGAACTGATTTCTGCTTTTTATCTTGGCCACGGTGCTTTTTTTGAACGATATGGCCTATAGACCTCCTGTTCTCAAATTTGATGGTGTAACAATACTCATATCATTAATAGATATTGCGTCAGCATGTAGTTATTTTTGTTACGTCTGGTGTCACTCGTTCCCCTTCGGATGTTGCGACTATGGACACTTCAAGGAACAGTTGCACGTGATCGTCTGCTAGGACGCAGATTCAGCAGATTGGGACGATAGAATTGTGGACTGTAGTGGGCGCACTTCGTAATTCGGCCTGGACTATACCCGAGGAAGTGCGTATATATTACCTCATCTTGTGTAACAAAGACGTCCACAAAGTTGACTACCGGTTATTCATATTGGAGATTAACAGCGTAGTAAATTCTGTCGGTATTGTGTATTTGTTTGCAATTATGATTGTTTTAATTCATTTTTGCATGTGTGTTTTTTTCTTGTAAGTGTGCCACAGCAATCTATAGATAGATTTGTGTAATCCACGTACGATACAAATTGGGGGCTCCTCCGGGATAATCGAATTTTTGGCTTTCTGTGAGTAACTTTCAAAAACGATATCTCGGAGATTTTAATATCTAAACTTATTACATTTGGGAATTAAATTCATTGTTATAAATACCAGTCAAGATTGTTTTTAACTTAGAGGATTTTTTGAATGCACCAGATGCGCAGTTACTTGAAACGTTGAGAAAAGATGAACTGTTTGAGTTTTGTCAAGGTTTCACTTGAATGTTAAGATCTAAAAACTGGTGAAATTGAAAATAAAAAAAATTGAGTATGAATTAATATTTAAAAACCTAGAAATTGAACAAGAGAGAGAGAAAGGCGTGCATTTAAGAGAGAGAAAAATGAATATGAAAAAGAGAAAATTGCGCAAGATGGACAGCATGAGTTGCAGATTAAGAAGTTAGAAGTTGGGCCTCAAAAGAAATAAAAATAGCTAGAACTTGAGGCTAGCGCCAAATCAAACTATAACAAGTTTGATGTGTCAAAGAACATAAGACTTGTCCCAAAATTTAAAGAGGAGGATGTTGACAAATATTTTATTCACTTTGAGAAAATAGCAGAAAATTTGAAATGGCAAAGAGGTTTCTGGCTTGCCACTATTGTTACAGAGTGATTTTGTTTACAAGGCTAGGGAAGTTCATTTTGCATTGTCAACTCCGCAAATTGCAGATAATGTTGTTATTAAAAAAAAATGCTTGAAAGCATATGAACTTGTACCAGAAGCGTATAGAAAGCAATTTGGAAGTTACAAGAAATGCACGGACTCATGTAGAATGTGCGAGAGAGAAACAAAATATGTTTGGTGTACTTCTAAAAATGTTGGATCAAACTTTGAAATGTTGAAACAATTCATTGTGAATAAAGAATACTAAAACTTAATTCATCCTGAAATTAGAACCTTTTTAGATGAACAGAAGGTTGAGACTCTTGAGCAACTTGCAATTGCGACTTTAGCCGCTGATTATGCAATAACACAGTTTAAGGTTGGTCCCTACTCAAACGCGTCATAACAATTTACCGGATATGATTATCGATACGAAATTTTAAAACCAAATCCGTCTTTACGAGTTCTACCGGGTTAGTACCGTTATCGGTTTAGGTATTATATAGCGCTGAGCATTTCCAGTTGGCACTTTTAAGATTACGCTCGTGTTTACCGAGATGCCGAGGTTTAAAGGCAGGTTTGTTAAAGACTCTCTTGTTAGAAAAATTGAAAATTAGATAAAGGAAGAAGCAATCGAATAAACAAAACAGATTTAACATGTGACGAAACAAGTGGTGTGCCAGTAAGTGACTTAGATTACAGTAATCATTATCATAGAGTTATATGGCTGTGACGGTGAGAATATTCATGTCGTTAGAAAAGAAGAGACATATTCGGTTTAGGAAGATGAGAAAATGAATCAGTGGAGAATGGGCAGACGTGTAGTTGATCTTGGGGGTTCTTGCGGATGATCTAAGCAGTTGTCAGTTATGCGGACAGCCACTGCAATTGTCAAACTGTGTAGGGGAACACAAATTCGGCCTTGCACATGTAGCCCTACTACTTGTCAAGTGCAAATTTACTGACTGTGGGATAATACTGAAGTGGCATCAGGAAGCAAACACCAGACTTCTAATGGCAGAAATACATGGGATGTAAATACCAAACTAGCAGTAGGTATTAAATTTGTATTTTATTACATAGTTTATTCACATATTCAAATTGGATCATGATGTTGGTTATTTTTATTTTAAGAACAGTTATAGTCAGTATATAAACATAAAAAATGTGACTTGCTTTTTTGTTAAAAGCATCTTTATTCTCAAACATACATATGCACACACCTAATTATACACACACACATACAGAAAATAAACAAGGACAATCATGTCATATATTCACTTTCCATGTTGACTTGTTAATAATTTTGAGAACTCATTTCAGGAATAATAAACGGAGGATTTCCAGATTTGGTGAAACACATGTAAATTCACTCCTGGCTGCTTTAAACATACCCAGCGTTTCTCGGATAACTCTGAACTATAGAGGAAGAGAGGTCGGGCAACAATTTGGACAAATGGCAGGGGAAACTTGTAATAAAAGTCTGCAGGAGGAGATGAGATTGTAATTATGCCATTTTCTAGCAATACATGACCTATTTATATTTTTATTTGCAATTATTTTTTACAAAATTATGTCGTTAATTAAAAATATTATTGTTTAGGAGTCAAGGGAGTCTGGCGGTTATATCTGATGGTGCTTGACAGAAGCGGGGTACCGGGAGAGCTTAAAATAGTCTTACAGGTAAATGTACCAAGTATCAAAACCTATACATTGTAGAGACTAATGTGTCACATGGACAATGGTGGTCCTGACATCGTATTGAGTCAATGAAAAATTTTGTTTCCATCACAATTGAAATCAACAATTGATATCAGCATTTTATATTTACAGGACTTGCCTATCTGTTGGAGAAAAATCGAAGAAAATAGTCATTTTTTCAGTGTAGGGAAAAAAGTAGGGTATGTGCAGCTGCAAAATTAAAGAGTAATTCTCCCAGGTAACACAAGTGCTGTAAGAACTCAACTGGATCAGCAAAGGTTATGGAGCCTCAGCCTGCTATGGCCTGTGAGATGTTGGAGATCGAGAATGTAGGGGGAAAGGTAAGAACATCAAGAACAAAAACAATCCAACAATTTTTAAAAAACTAATTGTACAATATTAAATCAGTCAAAACATAGAAATGTTATTTGCTGTACAACATATTAAATTTCTTTCAGTAGATACCGTGATTATGGACAGCGACTCAAATACCATGGCAAGATTAAAAGCTAATGTTGATCCTAATATGAGCAAAAGATCCGTTAGTAATCACACAAAGAAGGGATTTAGTGGTGTACGTATTAGTAGAACTGAGCAGCAAGCATAAAGTTTTCAGTTGTAACATAACTTTATCTATGTCCTATGCTGGTGTTACTGAAGTAAAAGCAGTATTAAATTGTTTGTATTTGAGTGCATGCCTGAAAGGAAGAATGTTGAAGTGGTTTAGCCGTATTTGTATATGTACGGACATGTTTCAATTATTGATGAGTTGTAAAAAATGCATTTAAATGATTTTTTAGGACAGATTGACTTGTTATGTTTTATAATGCATGAAAATGGTATATGAGTGTGATTTTTCTTTTAAATATGTTTGTTACTGATATTTAGAGTTGAATTTGTTTGATCAGCAAGGGGGTATTCATGATCTAGAAGGTGTAGAAAATTAAAAAGCCTGAAAAGTACTAATTTTTGGGGGCTTTTTAGTTGCAACAGATATAAATCTAATATTTTAAATAAAAAAAGAACGTGTTTATCCATTACTTTATGAAAAATGTGTAAAAATGACGATATTGTATAAAAAATTTAAAGCACCAAATTGATATCTTATTGGAAAAAAAGTTATATTATAAAATAAATATTCATATATGAGACTGGTTATGCCTTTCCTACATATTAATGAATAAATAAATACATTTGAAAGTAATTTTGCTTTGATATTGCTTTTGATATGAGCCATATATTGAATCTGGATGAAAAAGTGTCGTGAAAGAAGGGGGTATACGTCATTGAGGCACTCTAATTTGAAAAATAACATGAAAAGTTATTTATTTTTTGTGCTTTTTATTTAAATTAAGTGTCATTCTAATAATTTCAAAAGAAAAAATACCATTTAAACCATTAAATCTCCTGGGTAGGGACCTACCTTAACTCAAGCTAGCAAAAACTGATATGAGAAATGAAAAACATTCTGTGAATTATTTTACCGTATTCATCTCTTTTCATCGGTACCGATTTATTATGATAATTGCAGCATTATTGAATCTATGAATGTGTTTATATCATATTTATTTTACAGTCAGATGCGTAGAAATGCGTATATGTCATGTTTGGGTTTAAAACATAAAAAATTGTGCATTGGGATTGATTTTTCACGATTCTAAATTTGAGAAGGTAACTTTTAAAAATGTCATGTTACTAACATATAACACAGTCAAACATATGAAAAATACTATTATCATCCCGCGCTAAATTGTCAAAATATAAAGAAAATGCAAGTTACAGGAGCTGTACTATGCCCATATCTACATTTCTGCTTAGAGCTATTGTTTTCAGAAGAACGGATAAAAAGACAGCTGCTAGTGGCGAGAAACCATAAAATAACAATTGGGAAAGTTGTTCTTTTTTTTCAGCAATTGATATATCAAATTCTATCAATTGATAATTGTGAATTAAGTTTATGTAATTGAAATAAAATCAAATAATATAAACAAATACTTTTATATTGCATTTTGTTGTCCCGCTACACAATATTACATCATAACAATGTGACTTTAATTTGTGCGAAAACCATGTGAGCTCTATTGAACACTTTTCTTATGTCTCATTAAGAATAAAGGATATAAATTCTGCACTTTGAAGCAAGTGTATGTAAAACAGAATGCATAATAGATTTGTAAAATAAGCATTATTCCTTGAAGTTTGTCAACAAAATATTATAATGATTGTGTTACATGAAAAAATATGACTTGAAGACCAGACAAAACATAATTGACATAATAGGAAAAACAGATCTTCATTTGTTAAACTCCTACATTTACAATTTCAAATATAATCCTTCCATTCCATCTAGAACGAACTTATTGAAGGAATGCATATGCTCAATTCTGTATGACTAATTAGTTTGATCATAAATCTATGAAGAAATCTTTTGGACTTCATGGGATTTCATCAAGTTACCAACTAAATACATTTTGCAATGAACTATAAGAGGTTGCATGTAACACACATTGATCATGCATAAACAATACAGTGCATCAATTATTATGTTTTGCATTCTGCAAATACTTGTACACAGAGACGGTAGAACTACTTCCCCTAACCCAGAGATTGTGTTGTTCATCGATACAGAGAGCACAGGAATATTTAGGACATTGATCTGGTGTTAGCAAGACAGATAAGAAATTGCCATTTATGTCCAGCAGGTGAACACAAAAGCTGATATCCTAAAAAAGAGAATTGGTATTACACACCAAAATGTGTCCCAGAACATCTGTACAGATTCCATAGGGACGAAATCCAGACTGAGATTGGTGACCAGAGTAAGAGAAGCGGTACTCTCCTGATGCAGTCACCACCACAATCTTATCGGCGTCCCAGTTTGATGTACAAATATCACCGTTGATGTTCTCTGTAATGCAGTCTATACTTTGATACAGAGGTTGTCCTTTTTACCCCATTTTATTTCCTGTAACTTTCTTCCTTCTCTGTTGTATCTGGTTATTTTTTGGCCTAAATCTGTCATCATCCCAACTAAAATGTTTTCATTGATGGTAGAGGAATAAATGGCTGTAGGTTCCCAGCTCCATAGCTCAATTAATTGGTCAATTTTCATGTCACTATTTACTCTGAAGACATTTTTTTCTATGTTGTGCGTGTAAAGAAGTTCCCCCGTCATCGTGACTGTGTGGTAACATTGATTATACCCTATACAGGTGGATATTTTCTTTAAAATGTTACCTTCTATATCATACAGAATGAGATTTCCAAAGTCATCACTAGCCCAAAACTTTTTGGGGGACAAGATAGAAAAATGGTTTATTCTATGTTGGACTCCCTGAAAAGTTACTTCACTTACTTTTGTGACAGGAGAAAGCTTTAAACCTTCAGAAAATTCTAACATTTCAATTTCACCAAACTGTTTTGCTATTTCTTTTTCATTAAGTATACCTAGAGTAAAAATGGGCAGTTTTTGTTAAGCTTTGTAAGGTTTCTTAAGGGTAGCTAATGAAATGTCTGAATGGAATGTCATGAGTTCAGTGGGTTTAATTGAAGATTTTTTGCTCTCATAGTCTGAAATCATTATTTCCAGGTAATTTATGTAGTCTTCTGTTTCCTCCTGTTTTTCAACCATATCATTTAGTACGGAGTCCTCGATCTCATCCAGTTTTTTAATACTATCAGTTAGTACACTGTCAACAACTCCTTTCAGTTCATCTGCTCTTTTCTTCATAAAAAATCTAAACTTGGCAATTTCTTCCTCGACATAATCTATCTTTTCTCCAAGTAATTCAACCCTTTCTTTAGCCCCAGGAATGACTTTTTTCCATATCTCACTTATTTCTTTCTGACATTGCTGTATAATGGCATTATATATGGTTTCAAGGTCACTTTTATTATGATCACCATGGTGTTGGGCGAAGCAGGTAGAACAGATAGCATCATGGCACACATCACAGTAAATATCGATATCTTCGTCGGGATGGACCCTGCATTTCTCTGAAGGAAGTTTTCTCTTTCTCGTGTGATAGAGGACAATCTTATGTCCTATATTCTGTTCTAGATGTCCCTGTTTACATTGGTCACAAATTCACTGATGACAGGTGTTGCAGTAAAACTCAGAGAAGTTCCCACATGATTCTGTATCACACTCAATAAAGCGTTGGGCTTTATCTTGTCGCTGACCCAGATAGCAAGACATAGTTGGGCCAACGTTGGCCCAATTTTTTTTCCAACGTTGGCCCACTGTTGGTAACCTTACGTTGGCCCACGGTAATTTTGCTCATCGGCCCAACGTTGGTTCAACATGTTGGCATATTGTTGGGCCAACGTAGGTATAATTGTATGACAACTAACAGCCAACCTTAATAACTTGTTGGTTAGGTTGGCCCAACGTTGGCCCTTTGTTGAAATGTCAAATGGCATATTGTTGGGCTAACGTAGTTATTAGTGTATGCCAACTTACAGCCAACCTTAACAACTGTTTGGTTAGGTTGGCCCAACGTTGGCCCTATGTTGAAATGTCAGATGGCATATTGTTGGGCCAATGTAGTTTTTAGTGTATGCCAACTAACAGCCAACCTTAACAACTGGTTGGTTAGGTTGGCCCAATGTTGACCCTGTTTTTTACAATGTCAGATGGCAAATTGTTGGGCCAACGTAGTTATTACATAGAAACATTTGCAATTGGTTAAGTGATTCTTTACATAAACCTATTTTTGACTGTTTAAAATAATTAATTCACAATTCAATCTGCATTCATAATGCATACATGGACATGTTCAATGAAAACATTACTAATGATTCACTGTGATAATATTTTATATACATCAATTCAATCATAATTTACAAAATAAATTTTAAAATAGACAATAGAGGTAAATTATGAAAAATTATCAAATAAAAGTTCTTAATCAGGGCTCACTTCCTTTATTATAGTCCTTTTGTTGTATTCCCGCTCTTTTCCGTCCCTTCGTCGCCTCCCTTTTCTTCATCTTGATCTTTGTCATACGGACTCATACTTTATACACTTCTTTATGCATGGTCTTCGATTTCATTGTTATTTACATGTACCGCCACAACATTTGTTTTCCTTGCAGTCTCTGACTGAATTTCTTTGTTACAATCGTGTCTGTAATAGACAGTTAAGAATTAGATAGATAGAAACAACTTAAAATATGTTATTTAACCTTAATTTACAGTGCTTGTGTGCAAAAACATGACAAGAATGAATTCCGAATCAATTTTAACAGTTAACCTGAATAAATAAGAATAAATATACTTACATTGCTTCTAAATGCAGCTGTATAGCAAGTGTATAATCCATAAATTTAAATTTCACTTCTTGTTGCTTGCCCTGCATTATCACCACCTGTGAGCAATTGAATCTGACAGATCACTCCACAGTTTGGTCACGTGATAGCGAACGCCTAACTTTTGTTTCAATTTAATTATAAAGCTGTGTCATTTTGATTTATGTATATGTAGGCTTCATTCACATCCTGTTCCTAAGAACGTATTCAGTCTTCTCTAAATTCTCATGAAAAAATTCATAATTTCAAGGGTTTTATTTCAAATAAATAATCATGCATGTGCACAATTCAAAAAATATAATAAAACACTCTTTGGTGCTGTGATCACTTAAGTTAAAATTTAAAATGTTGAATATATCAGATCTAAACAAAAACAGTCATCCAATTAAAAGCATGGACATAGAATGCCAGCTCTGCAGCTAAAATTTACACCATCTTTAGTTGGCAGTATAATAATTGGGCCAGCGTTGGCCCAATATAAATATCCCATCTTTGAAACACCTAAACAAAAGAACACTCGTGCTAACATCGGGCTAACATACTACAATGTACATGTACTACCAAATTGATAAGACATTTTTTGAGGGTGTATTACAAACATTGGGCCAATATACTACTTCCCATTTGATAAGACACTTTCTTTAAGGGTGTATAACAAACATTGGGCCAACATACTACTACCAATTTGATAAGACACTTTATTAAGGATGTATTACAAACATTTGGCCAACGTTAGGCCAACATACTACTATCAACTTGATAAGACGCATTCATTATGGGTGTATAACAAACATCGGGCCAACGTTGGGCCAACATACTACTACCAACTTTAAAAGACACTTTCTTTAAGGGTGTATTACAAACATCGGGCCAACGTTGGGCCAACTTACTACTA